GTAAACATGACTGAAGGTAAGTATTGTTGCGTCAGCGAGTCACATGACTGGTGTGACGCCACGTTTCTAGAACTATCCTGTACCTTGGCGAATGCTCTAGTGTTTGCTAGATATAGGGTAGTCGGAAATATATAAGAGGGGGAAAACGTGACGCGGGAGGTAATGTAATGTGTGAGTAGATAGTGAGTAATTGAACTGCAGTCACAGGGTATTGTTGAAGTTAACGTTCGTTCGTTATAGCGTTTGTTTAGCGCGATTGTTGAAGTTGAGTGTATCGGTAAAGTTATATTCGGAAAGAATAAACCAGTTTTATTAAGTAAAGACTTGTGTCGATAAAATTTCGTCGGAACGAAGTTACGGAAAAATCAATTAACAAACGGAGACGTAACAATAGGATATACTTGTAAAATATAAACATACTATGTGTTTCCTACCTTCTGATATTAATATAGTGGTATTATAAACCTATTAGTTATTTCTGAGAATGTACAGTTTTCAACTAGCATGTGGTCAAGAAATTAGTTTATTTGATTTTGTTCTAACTGCCTTTGTTCCTTTGTCATTCTGTTGAGGTCACACCAGTTTTGCCCATGGGACGATTGGCTTCATTTTTGTGGAAGAATAAAGACAAGAGTGTCTTTTAATAGTAAATCAAGTGGTATCTTGAGGCTACAGTCTCCACTATGCTTGAATAAGAATGATCAGCCATGTGCAACTTTGCCTTTTTGGGGTAAATCTGTCATTACCTGTGAAATAAGGAATATTGAATTTAATCAATCTCTGAGAGAATAGTTTCAACCCAGAAGAAGCGATAGTCTATCATCCAAAGCAAGTACACACGCCATGTTCGTCTTATATTATAACAAAAATTATGCTTTTGTATTTTAGATTGTGTCCAATTTTTATTTCATTCGCATAAACTCAGGTATTCCAAGAAATGCAGTATTACTTCATAATAAAGATCTTGTTGAATCTACTGCTATTCTGAGGACCAATCTCATCACTCTAAGAGAAATCAGTTAAACCTGAATATAAACATACTTAAACCTATAGAGAGATGGGTAGTGAAAGTTAATCATCACTATGTACAAACGTTTGACAAGATTGTCTATATTATAACCTTTGTATTTTTATTTAGCTCCATTTTTTTAATTTTATCAGGTATGTGTAGTGATGATGAAAATAATCACCAACCTATACATAATACTGGTGAGAACAGTACCATTCATTCTGTTTATTGTTGATATGAATTAACATTAAAGAAAACACAGTATGGTATGCAGACATACCACCTGTTTTATACTTCCTTATATAATATAAAAATGTTCAAACTTTCTGTATATTTTGAGTATTTAGTCTCAATATATAGTGTCTGCTTTGGAAACCACTATGTTACTCTCGCCCTAGTTACTCACAGAACAGGTTAGTTAACAAAGGTGTTATCATACTTTCTTATGGGAAAAATCACGATAATATCAAAAGCACCGTATAGAAAGCAAAACTGATTTTTTCCACTGGTAAGTTAGGTGATGCTTTTGGGATAATGCAAACCTTGTTTTGAAGTGAGAGTTTTTTGAGAAGAATGACATTGTTGTTGTTGTTAGTCTATAATGCCTCGTTTTCTTAGTGTGGAATAATTTACAACTTATTTTTCAACAACTTAAAACTTAAACTTAGCCCTTTGTAACTAAAGCTCACTTAACATCACATCATTTTCAATAAAAGCACCCCACCTTACATTTATTTTTAACATTAATCGTTGTTTCATTGTACATTGGAATAAAAGCTGTTTTCCTCTGTGCAACTCCTTTGTAGTTTCTCTCTCTCTGCTTTCAGCTAAGTGAAACTAAAAGAAAGTCAGATTTCTGATCCACAATACATTTCCTAGTGAGCATCCATTTACCCCACAGAGCCTACTTCATAGCAAATCAGTGAATCTTGGAATATTGCAACAGTTAAAGCCACTATATAATATTTGTATAACCTTATCTTATTTTGGAATAATTTAAGACCAATATCAACCCAGCCTATTCAACATCTATAAAACACCAGCTATTATACTGCACTTAAATTTTTTTTCTTTTTATTCCACCTCTTCTCTAAAGTATCAAGTTTAAATTGTCTTTTGATGGGCAACTGACAGGAAGTGTTTATACATCCAATCTCGAGAAGAGAGCAAGGAATTGGTTATTTGCAAAGGACATTTGCATTATATTAGATAGAAAATTGGCTGGATGAAAGAAAGCAGAGAATTATTGTAAATGGAGTTCAATCAAGGTGGAGTGATGTCACAAGTGGGGTACGTCCATACTGGAATTTTTGCGCTTTTGATTTACATCAATAACATGATAAAGGAATTGTCAATACACATTATTTAAATTTGCGATGATATGAAGGTTTTGGGTGTTACTGGTTGTGAGGAGGAGACTGCTGCTTTACAAAAGGATTTAGATTATTTGGTGAGTTGGGCAAATAAATGGCAGATGGCTTTTACTTTTCATAAATGAAAGGTAGTGCATGTGGGATATCATGATTTGAATTATGAGTATAATTTTGATGGGAATAACCTTAATGGTGTTACAGAAGAAAATGATTTTGGTGTTTTAGTTGATTGGTCAATTAAACCATCCAAGCAATGTGCTGTTGCTAGAGGCAGGGCAAATGATATTTTAAGTTGTATCTACAGAAATATTGAATACAAATCTAAAGAAATTATAATTTCATTATACAGATTAATGGTAAGGCTACATTTGGAGTATTTTGTTCAGTCTTGGGTGACTTACCTTAAGAAGGACATTGAATTGTTGGAAAGGGTTCAGAGTATGGCTAATAGGATGATACCTAGGATGGAAAGGTTGTCATAGAAAGAGAAATTAAAGCTCTGAAATAGTTTTTTCTTGAATCAAAAAAAGAGAAAAAGAAAAAGAGGGGACCTGATTGAGAAGTTTAATGGTGAGAATGGGAGTACTAAGGGATGCAAATATAAATTTGTAATGAGAATATTTCCGTTACATTTAATCCATATTGTCTTTGTAACAATATATAAACTTTGAATTGCTTAGTAATGATCATAAGAATGAAGAGAAACAAAAGGTTTCTGAGCATCCCTGGTTATCTTCAATTCAAAGATCTCAAATCAGAATTTCTGCTAAGACATTATGATGATACTGATCATATCTGAAGAAGACAGACCAAAGTTCTATTGAAACATGTAGTATATTCCACCATCAATAAAACTTTTCTTTATGCTTATAAATCCTTGTTTGCTTACTATTATTAACATAGTGTTGTAAGCTATATTTTTCATATTTTAAACTAGATATTTATTTGTTAGAAGGAAATAATCATAATGATGTAATGTATCAAGAATGTCCATGAAAGTTAAAGCCTCTGTACAGTTTAGCAATTTCATGCAGTATGTAGGAACAAGGGGAAAATATGAATATGAGACCCTGTGAAGTATTTAGGTAATGAGTAGCAAGTGAGTAAGAAATTGATTATTGATTAATCAGTGAGTGATTCAGTTCAGTGTTAATATCGAAAGTTATCACATTTATTCAATTACTTGATCGATTAGACGAGGAGTTATGCAAGTAAGTATAAGTAAACTTTATCTTAAAGAGCTAGAAGGGATCTGATTAAGGAGTTTAATATTGCTAAAGGAATTTAAAGTGTTGATGCACCATCTCTTTTCATACTTTAATCAATGTCGCAGTTCCTGTTAAAATATTGTTTGTGAACCTAGGCCTACAATTTGTGTCAAGGTAAATGTAGCCTATAATATAGCAAACGTTATTTGATAATTAAATTAAGTCTTTGTTATTACGTGGAATTGACATAGCGTTATTTTTACCAAATAATCCAAAAGAACCTGTCCAATTATATAACATTTTAAAGTATTATATTATTTGGTTTTATCTCAAATGCATCTATTCAAAAAAGAACTAATTTTAACATTGTTTATGTTCGAAGAACAAAGAATGCGACACAGTAAACACTAAAACAGGCACAAAATGCAGTGTTAAAAAGGTTTTTGTTGCAGCGTGTTACAATTTTAACGATTTCTTTGAAAAAAAAAACAACTAAATCAATTCACCGAGATTTTATGAAACTGAAAATATTTTTTATTGCAGTAATACGATATGGAGTTCGTATATTTATCTGTCTTTGTGCTTGTTCACTTTGACATTTCTAAGGAAATAAACTTTATTCAAACTTTATTTTCTTAGTGATTATTCCAGATTTCTGTATTAGAAATAAACTGAAGCAAAAGTACCAAGGAAATTAAACTTTTTTATTTTTTATTTTCAACAAGTGTCAACGCTATTATATCCAAAATCGTTGTGGAGATTAAATTGCGCACAGGTCTTTGCTTAGTTCAATTTTCTTCACGGAATAAGTAGTTGTAGAATGTTTCTTGTTAGGCTTAACTTCTTAGGATGTTTTTCTTTATAACGTAGCTTGTAACTTAAACTTAAAGTGACGTTTACAATTATGAATCTGGGATCACCAAATTTTGATAAAAGATTCGCAGACTATTTTGTTATTTGTGGCCTAGATTTTACATCGGGGTTGGAGCCAGACCAACTTTCAGGTGAGGGTACTGACTATCTCACTATTCTAATAATAATAATATTAGTATTACTGTATCAATATCAGTAGGTACTTGATCAATTTTGTACATTCCCTACATAATGTATATTTATAATACTAGTTCTGTTGACTCTCTAATAATAATACTAATAGGAACTATACTTGCGCATTTTCACAAGTAGTATTACCTATTCTTTTGTGTTAATTATTGCTCATGATTATGTTTGATGGCCCGTTTTGGTGAAATTCCCAACTTTGAAGTTTGAGTGTGCCTAATTGGGTATTAATAATTTATACAACCAAACGTTAGGACAAGAAAACTACACTAGTATCAAGACAGTGAAGTGTGAAAAAAGAAATGTTAAGAATTGTTTTCCTCGTGGGAAAGGGGTATAATGCTTCCTTTTCTTAACAATGTCACTATATAAAACTGAAAATAAAGTAAACCTTCGTTATTTAGAATTATACCTCACAAAACTCATTTTTGTGTTAACAGTGAAGGTATTTTCCAAAAACATAATTTAAAGCATTAATAGTAATATACAGATACCACTGAAATATAATTTGGAGCCTTAAATGTGTAGACTTGACATCAAATATAGAATATAATTGCTCATATTCAATGTTTATTATCATCTAAATATCATAGTTTTAATTTATATCAACTAAACTTTTTGTCAAAAAGTGATAATAAGAGGTTATTCAAATGAGTTTTATATTAGTTTTGAGTTTAGAATAACTGATATTTACTTTATTAATCTGCATAATGATATATTTATGCTTTCATATCGAAATAATCTCATATTTTTCATATACCACATAACATCAATGTTCAAACGTTAAATTGTCCTGCTAAGCACAAGTCTGATGTTAGAATGTCTTGGTTTCTCATTCTGGCAAGTTCAGTGGATTGCATCTTTGTGTATGAGATTTTCCTTGACTGTTTCTCAATTCAAGTGGAAATCCTTTTTAGCTTGGTATTACTATTAATATATTGATCTTTTGCCTCTTTATCCTTGTTGATTGTGGTATTTTTTTACTTCATGCATGAAAAAAGTTTGTCTTTGTCTTTTACATTGAAGTATTGGGTATTAATTAAGTTATTGTTTCTTCTTTTCAGGAGGCTGTAGTTTTATAGTAATTTGAATGCCTTTATGTAGCCTATCCTTCTCACTTCCTGAATGGAAAACTACATTATCCAACTTAGAATCGCTTTGAACCATAAACCTATTACAACTTGTTTTGTCATGTGAGAACTAATACTTATTGCTTTGGCAGTCAGTGTTCCTCCTTGCGTATATTTGATGTTGGATACTCAATATTTTCTTATAGAATTCTTTACTTAAAATTGGTAGTTTTTTCAATAAGTATTAATCATCAGTCTTATATTTCTTCTATTATACTTTTGCCAGTAGTTGATGATTGTTTGGGTGCATAAATTTTTATATCCAGTGATAGTTGTACAATCCCATATAACTCATACAAGGCTATTTCTTAACTCTCGTCAAATGCTTTTACCATACCAGGAAACAGAGAAGGCAGTGATCATTACATTACCTATTCATTTATGTGCTTGGAGGCTTAAATGTCTTTCCTGTGTTTATGGCCAATTAAATAATAAGTCAGCTCAATTTTCCAGGTTTTATTTCTTCGGTTAAATTCTTTAATGATTTCTTGGACTGCTGCTTCTATAGTTTATTGGGAAACAATTTTTCAAACAGTTATACCATCACACATTTCATTATCATTACTTTGTTCAAGTTATGTCTTCAAAGATTTTAATCAACTTTATATAATGTTTTCTCAGTGCCTTCTTTACTGAATCTAGAAAGATAAGGTGGTTTTCTTTGTTTTGTTTTCACTAAGCTAGTTATCTTATGTTCCTAGATCTTTGCTTGGTGATGTTAGCCTCTAATGGAAGCGTGGAACCAGTTACACTATTACATTTTCTTTGAGGGCTGAGTGTTTGAATAAATCTTTGTTAAAAAAGCTTAGCTTAAGGAGTAGATTGAGAAACTACTTTATGATGTTATTGAATATAAGGGGCACTGCTGTAATCCTAAATTGATTTGTGACCTGGGAATTACTTACTTTTAGGTATGAACATTATATATTTGAAACTTTTAACTGTTCTCTTGTGAGGAAGAATGGGTGAATATTGAAGAAACTACTTCACTCTGGTTCTTTAGGATACCCAGTGTGTTGTTATCAATCTAGTAATTGGTGGTAATTGGGCTATTATAACTAATCATGTCTTCTCCCAGTGATCTGACCATACCTCATTGGAGGAGGTTACTCCTAGCTTTATGGTTCATTCAGAGTATACATCCCTGTTTTGGAGGTGACCTGAATGGAATTGTCTATTAAATCATCTTCCCCAGGAGTGACATTCACTTCTGCTTCTTTTAGCCCCATATCCACCTCCTTGTGGAGAAACTCACAAAATGTGATGGAAGAGTTGTTTTATCTAAAACTTCCATATTAAAACTAAATTGAAATTCTACTATTTCACTCCTACCTTCATACATTTTTTAGTTGTTGAAAACAAGTTGTCGTTTATGAATGTGGATATATATGTGGAAGTTAAGGTTGTGCATCACAATAGGTGGTCATGACATTCTGAGAGTAGAAAGCACGAGTCAAAAAGATGCATCATATACAAATGCTTGCAGGAATAGATTTTCTACAAAGTTGTAAATGATGAATTGGATTAAAAGTTCTAATGCATGGGAAAACAGAAAGGAATGTAAATTGTAATGAAGTATTAGAAATAATCTCTCTGACTTTTGTATTTTTTTTGTAATGTTGGTCATGAATGCTCATGTGGATAATATGTAATTTACACAGTATATATGGGTAATATATTTTTGGATAAAAACAATTTATTTAATTTCAAAGTGTGCTGTTTAACCCAAATGATAAAACTTGTCAGTCTGAAGTATGCTTTTTAACTTATATAAATGGTAAATTATATAAATATTGCTATGAGCATTTTATAAGAATTAAGGAACTGCTGTTATCCTTTTTTTTCTGAAGCAATTTACGTATGATTAAAACTTTTTTTTACCAGTTTTTTTTTCAGAAAGTGATGAACCGCAGTTTTTTTTGTTTAATAGACCCAGAAATGTTCCCAAGAGGTGCATCACAACAGGTCATGACATTCTACGAGTAGAAAGCATGAGTCATAAAGATATAATTCCAATTTACTCTAGCCATTAAAAAAATAATTATCATAAAATACCTTAGAATGACAATTTACATGTCATGATTAAGTTAAAGTACTACCAATGTCTATGTTTTAGGTGTTTGTGTGTCTGACTTCTCACTTTGATATGAGTGCTACAATTAGTAGTGTGCCAAATGTTTTAGTAGTTCCAAGTAGGCCTTGGGGAAAAAAAGGACATTGTTATAGAATCTAAGTCATTGACCATCAGTAGTGAAAGAAACCTTTCTGATTCAATTTTCAATGAATTTGTGTTTATAACAAAGTGGTAAAATATATTATATAATATATTACACTTAGTGGTAAGGTGAACAGATTTTCAAATCATAAAACTATAACACTAAAATTTTCAAATATTAAAACTAACACCTCTTCTTTGGGGGGGGGGCTATAAAATATTATGCAAATGATATCATTACCTGAAAAGATATTTTATTTACATTATTGCTGCTACAAATACCTCTGATGAGTGAATTTTGTCAAGTAATTTCTTGTTAGCCGGGTTCTTGACAATTGTAATTTATATTCACCCTTGAGTTACTTTAAATAAATGCTTCACAACTTTAAAATTTAACATCAACTGTGAACAGCACTTGTCATTTATATTCAACTATTTCTGTTTTGATGTTTTGAGCATTTTTTAACATTTTGTTAAACTCTTGTTTATTTAAGTGGCATTGTTGAGCAAATAAATAACAGATGGGTTTTAATTATAAGTGTGAAGTAATGCATGTGGGTTATTATAATATGAATTATAAGTATAATTTTGATGAAATAAATCTTAACAAACATTATTATGGAAGAAAAGGTTCTTGGTGCTCTAGTTGATCAGTCTCTCAAGCCATCCAAGCAGTGTGCTGTTGTTAGTGGTAGGGCAAATGGGATTTAGGTTGCTACAGAAATATTGAATACAAGTCTAAAGAGGCTATAATTTCATTGTATACAGTCACTGTTTAAGCCTCATTTAGAATATTGTGTTCAATCTTGGGCTCCTTATCTTAGCAAAGACATTGAATTGTTGGAATGGAAAGGTTGTCATACAAGGACAGATCAGATCTCTGGAATGTTTTCTCGTGAATAGTTAGAAGGGATCTGGTTGAAGAATGTAAGATTTCAAAGGGAATTAATAATGTTGATGCATCATCTCTTTTCATACTTAATAGTGAGAATTATAGGACTAGTTGATATAAATATAAATTGTAGCAAGGTAGGAGTCATCTTCAGCTAAGAGAGTTCTATTTTTCTAACAGGGTAGTTTGTCTTTTGAATGGGTTACCCTCAGATGTGATGGATGTAGTAAATTTTAGAAAGTTTGAAGGAAGGCTTGATAAATAATTGAGTGATATGGGCTGGCTTTGAGTGTGTGTGTGTGTGTATATATATATATATATAAATTTAATGATATTAAATACATTAATTGTCCATAGGCGAAGTAAAACCAGCACTAGAAAACAATAATGAACTTAATACAAAACAAAAATAATGTTATAATGAGACCAAAATTCTGAATTATTCTTCCATCACCAGTTCTTGTTGTCATCCTTAAGTCATAATGGATGATGTCTTTGGCTATAGCACCCAAATGTTGGGAATTTTCCATCTATCAGACAAGAAGCCAATTTCAAATTTGCCAGCAACTAAGGAGAATCAGTTAAGGGTTGGGTGTTGAAGGCTTGAACCCACATGTCTCAACTCTTACTACCTTTCACTGTCTGCAGCCAGTTGTGGGAAAGCAGTTACCCTTAATATTTAGATATATCCTTAAAGTAGAATAAACT